AATTTAAACCACAGAGCTCCCCAGGTTCCTCCTACAGTCCAGTCAACTCCAAGTGGAGGTGCTGGGAACAGGGTCCTTCGTGGCGGAAGGATGAAGTAGAACAGTAGCCTTGGAGCCAGAGCCCCGAGTTTGAATCCTGGCTCAGACAGACCAAGTAGACTTGCTTGGTCTACACCAGCACCACCCACTAGAACTTTCCGAGCTGATGGAAATGCTCTGTTCTGCGCTGTCCAATATGCTAGCCACTAGCCACATGCGGCCACTGAACACTTGAAATCTGGCTACTGTGACTGAGGAATGGAATTTTAAATTTTATTTAATTGTAATTAAATTTAAATAGCCCCACATGACTGGTAGCTACCATATTGGAAAGCACAAGTCTAGACATTTAATTTCCAGGACGCTTGGTTTCCTCATCTGTGACATGGAGAAAACGGTAGCCCCCACCTCATTAGGTTATCATGAAGGGTGAACAAGTTGGTTTATGTAAAGTTGGCATATCATAGGAAACTCAAAAAATGTTAATACTAATTAATAGTAGTAATATTTAAAAGTGTTTCTGTGCTGGGGGTGGTTATAAGCAAGTGGGAAGGTGAGAAAGAAAATGGGGCAGAAAATGGAGGTTTCCCATTGCCATGTCAGGAGGTGTTAGGAATCACACTGTGGTTGGCAAAACTTTGAAATATTTTTTTAGATGATTCACACATTTTCATTACTTTGTAACCCCCATCTGTTTCCCATCAGAAAACCCTTAAAATGTAAAAAGGCCTATTTACTGGAATGGGGCATTGAGAAAGGAAGATCTAGGAAGGCTGTGTCCCTGTCTACAGGCAGCCTGGGGAGGGGGCCCTAAGTGATAGGTGGGGTGGGGGCCGGGGGCACAGCTATGAGTGGACAAGAATGAAGCAGGCACCATCCTCACTCCAAGTCAGCGGGGGATGGAGAGGCAAAGCATGGGCTTGGGGCCGAATAGGAGAAACGCGAGCCTCCCCAGGACACACACACACACAACCCCCCTACCTAGGGCTTTTCTGATGCTGTCCACCAGGAGGCGCTGTTTTCACGTAAGCCGCAAAGCAGCTAAGCAGAGTAATGTGGATGGTCCACTCTGAGCCTAACAACTTGAAGGGAGGGAGGTGGTAGGCTGGGCTGTGGGGCTGGTGGAGATACAGACACAGGCAGAGCTTGACCAAGGCAGTGGGGAGGGCCCTGAGGAGGCTCCAGCCTCTCCTCCACTTGTCCATCGCCCCCCTGGTACTCAGGGCCCAGAGCAGCCACCTCACTCCACATCCTGCCTAAGAGGCCTCAAGAGGCAGCTGGACCTGTTGGCCAAACACTGTTGGCAGGAGCAGCTCTCCAGCCTCACACACAGACCACAGTGCTGGGTGAGGCAGGCATGCCCTGACATCACAGGGGTCCCTCGTGCTCAGGCCACCCTTGGCACCCAGAGCTGCCCCTTCGGGACCCGCTCAAAGTGAAGTCCCTCCAGTCCTCGGGGCGCCCAACGCTGGGTGCAGGTGAGGGCTGGTCTGAACAGGCTCCGAGGGTCTCTCCCAGGGGAGCACCTCCTTCCGCCTCTGTGCAGGACTCCAAGGCAGGCTTTTCCCCCTCTTAGGAGCACAAATGGCACCTTACAATGAAGACTGACATCAGCTCAAACGGTCTGAATGCCACTCCTGCCAAGAGTCCAGGAGAACGACATCCCAGAAGGACTGTCCACAAGGATTGTCCCTGGAGGACACAGGAGTCATCCAGTGGAGACCTAAGGGTCACCCGTCATTAGGAACCTGCTTCTCTTGGTGCTCTCCTATAAATGGGGATATAGGGAGTCTTTCCTCACCAGGGGAAACCCAGTGGGCCACTGCACTCAGAGCCCCAAGTTGCCACCGTGGTGTCTCCTGCTCTCTCCAGCCCCACGCAGCTCTGGCGTTCTCCACTGTGGCTACTCTGCTCCTCTTCCGCGGCTGGAGCACCACATGCTCCTCCCAGCACAGGGTCTTCGCATTTGGCTGTCCCTCTTTGACTGTGCTCTTTGCCCCTCGTCAGCTTCTCCTCTCGCTCCAGCCCTCCGCTCTATCACTAATTCCTCTCAGAAGGCTCCCACCCCTGTTCTGACTTTGACAAATCCCCCTTTTCTATGCTCCTATCACCGCCCCTATGTTCTTCCTCCAGAGCAGTTCTCCCATTTGGGATTTCTTTTCACTAGGATGATTCTTTGCTGGATGTCTCTTCCCACTGCAGGACTGCAGGCTCCCTGAGGGCAGAGAATGTGTGTATCTGGCTCACCATGGCACCCCAGAGCCTGGCACACTGCCCGGCACATACGTGCTCTCTAACTGTTGGCTGCATAAATGATGAAACGCTCCTTCCTGTCTCCCCACGCGTGTTCTTGGGAAGGAGGAGTGATGATGCCTGGCCAGCCCAAGGGTGGGAGAAGGGTGGGGCATGTGCACTCACAGACATGGCCTCCACACCTTGAGGCCCCCTGCAGGCCTCCGAGAGACCTCACGCGCCACTTACTCATCAAGACAGATGCGGTGTGCTGCTTTCTCGCTGCAACTCCCTTCACCTGCACGTCCCAGAGGACAGAACTGATAAGCTACAAAATATACAAGTTTCAACCACTGGCCTGTGGGCTGCGCCCCTTCCTTCCTTTCCATCTTTAAGCTTAGGTTCTCAATTATTGCACCTAATACAACTAATAATAGCAGCTGACATCGACTGAGCACTTACTGTGTGACAGCACTGTTGTAAGTACCTCACCCATACGAGCTCCCCGTGAAGTACTGATGACCATCGTCTCCACTGGACAGACACGGGAACCGAGGCAAAGGGAAGTTAAGTCCTTGTTTAAGGTCACACAGCCAAGAACTGGTGTCCCTGGAATTCAAATCCTATGCTCTTTAAGCGATTCTACCTCTACCAAAAAAAATAGAAAAGCCTTTCTCAAAATGTCTTCAGAGAAGGTGACCAACAGCATGTCCCCTCACCTGATACCACCAGTCAAACCGCAGACAGCCACACGTGGAGCATCTTTGCATCACACGCGTCCAGAGTCGCTGTTCTCACTGCTGTGCAGCATCCTTCACTCGGAAACTCCCATGACGCATTCCTCAGCAGCTCAGAGCTAAGGGAGAGCCGCCCCTCTCGGCCTCTGTCTCCTCCCTTTTTTTGGACAATAATAGTTAAATAATTTGTGAAGTTTCTTTTCTGCTCTGGCTGCCAGGAAGCTCAGAAATACATTTCTTGGTCTATTTCAGCAGCTTCTGCTAACTTCCGTTTCCCTGCTTTTTGCTGAATTGATTCTCCTTCCATCAGTCTTTTATTACTGAGACACACATCTTTCAATCTGTTTTTTTTTTCCTGTATGAAGATTTACTTGGGTTTGAGTTTATTGTAAGATACCCTCAAACCTTTTTCGAAGAAGGTAAGGATTCCAACAAATCACCCTTTAAAAAGGCAGACTCTGCCACCTTGTCGGGGAATGAACGTTTGGTCACCTCAGCTGCTACCCATGAGCTGCTGCCTCCTTCCCCTCTCTAGCCACAACCCCCAAATCACCATCTCCTAGAAACATCACCAGCCTTCCTTTTGCAGGTTCTGAGTCCTGCAGGGTCAGTGCCCTGGGACCATAGCTGCGGTGTGTGTGGGCCATCTCAGCCATGTGACCTCCAGGGTCCCCTTCCCCCATGAGTAAAATAAGGGCTTTGGACTCCATCACTGTTTCTCATCTTTTTTAACCTTTGCTCCCCCAAATTCTTTCTCAAGCGCAACCCCACCAGCCAAAAAGATTGTGTTGAATTTTATTTTCTGTTGTTTTATTTCCAAAATAATAGGTATCTGGAATACATTGAAGATGGTTTTCCACCCCACAGTCTTCCTCCTACCCCAAATTCTACTACTTCTCCAGGTGCAATGTCCTGTAGCAGCTGGTATTTTTAATGCCCAGTATTGATTCTCCTTTCTTCTGGTAATACATCCCAACTTTCCTTTTGGGAATGACCCTTTCTCCATTCGACACAGTCTTAGAGGGACTGTCAACGAAGATGCGCTGCCTCCTCCTAGCCACCAGCCCAATTAGGGCTCTCTCCCTGGAAGGTGACCTTTGGGCGCTATGTCCAGTGACTAAGCATGGTTCCTGCAGACAGTGATGCCCTGAGGATGCTGCCCATTCGCTCCTGCTACCCAGATCCCTGAAGCTGCCCTGTTCCTTGTCCTTTTGCAGCCTGGCTGTTCAGCTTTGACTTTAGTTCTCTAAGTTTAATAGCCTCCCAATGAATTCCTTTTTCACTGAAGACAGTCAAGTTGGATTCTGTTGCTTACAACCCAAAGAACTGATCCACAACTCTCTCCACCAAGAATAACTGACCTGGACTATACCTGAGGTCTCCTTGTACCTCTAACAATCTGTAATTCCAGTAACCTCACACAACATAAATGACAGGGCACCTAGGTCAAGATTTAGGAGAAGAGAAAGGAAAACCCAAAAACTATAAAAAAAGGAGATGTAAAGTTTTGTGGTAGATTACATTATTGCCTAAAAAACATTCACTCCCCCCCGAGTCAGGATGGGAGACACAGGCGCCCCCCACGTTGAGCCTGACCATGCGATCTGCTTTGGCCAATGGAATGTGGGTTTGAGAGTGTGTTATTCTCAGCCCAGGCCTGAGAGTCCTCTTGTGTGTCCATCTCTTTCTCTAGGAACTTTCAACCTCCTCCATGAGAAGAAAATGTCTTGGAAAGAATGAGAGTCACATGGAGCTGATCTAAACCCAACTCCCAGTCTGGAGCCAAGCTCAGTCTGGAGAAGTTGAGCTCTAGACAACCTGCAAGGCATAAGTAAGAAATAAATGCTTGCCTTGAGATTTTAAGGTTTTTTTGTTATGCAGCATTATTACGGCAATAGCTAACTAATACGGATTTGCTGTGATTTCAGGCAACTTTAAGCCTAACCATTTTCAGAGTCATCTAGCCCAGGGAGGAGTTAGTGAACATCTTACCTGCTACTCTGACCTGGTTGGAGGCACAGGCTTTGCAGGGAAGCACCTGGAACTCTTCCGCCTGGTACATGGAGTAATCAGTACTGGCGACCACCAAGGTGTCCCCAGGCTTCCATGACTGTACGTTGTCTTCCAGATTCAGGATGGTGCTGTTCACGTTGGTGTCGATGGTGACAGTGAGTCTGGGCCTCACTGGAACCCAGAACAGCAGAGACTGAGATACAGCCCTTTGCTCTCAGCAAACTTCCAACTGCCCACCTCCTCCCTGCCCCTCCCTAAATAAGCAAATGCCGGGTTTGCCTATCCAAAACCCAAATCACCAGGCTCACCCATCCCGGTCTTGGTGCAGGTTTTTGAAGTCAACAAAAACCCTACCAGAAAAGAGCCATTCATTAGGTCTGGGCAGGGGAATTTTCCACTACCTCCTTAGCTGGAGTTAAATGTGGCTGCCTCACCACACCCACTTTGCTCAAGATGTAAAACAAATATAGTTCCTCTCAACCATTATTTACAGTAGCCGGGAGCCTTTCCCCCAAAGAACTCCCATCCCTAATGACTGCCTTCTGGAGGTGGCCAAGTGCCTCCTCGAATGAACCCACCATTTCCAATCCCTTCTAAAGAGCACGTCGGGAGCTGAGTTTAAAATAACAGCATCCAAAGAGGCAACCAGCTGCGTGTCTCTGCAGGGAGGGCTGCAGGGAGGTCAGCTCTGTCCACTGGCCCCTGGGTTTCTTGGACCAGGCCCTTCCCCTTCCTGAAAGGCATATGGGCAGGGTGGGGCTCTGCTGGCTCCTGCCAACTCCAAGGACCCTCCCACTGCTCCTGTGTCACAGAAGAGCTCTCCACTGCGAGCTCAGCAGGAGCAGTGTGTCACTGTGATGCTCGGAGGCGGCTGACCCAGCCAGCCAAGCTCACGATGTGTAGCTGCCAGCTCAAGGAGCAGAGCCACGGTTTCATTTCTGTCTGCAAAAGAAATGAGAGCTGCTTACCAGGCTTCCCACAAAGGAACCGCACACGGTAGCCCCGGCAGGCTCGGCCCCGGTCGTAGCACACAAACCTATAATCCTGGCCTCTTTTGTAGACAACCTCGGTGGTGAGGTTAACTCCATCCACTGTCATGGCCTGGAAATGGCACAGAAATTATAGAGCAAAGTCATTGCTTTTTGTAAAGAAGGAAGGTGATGATTAATGTTATAAACATATACTCATAAGTCTAAAATTGTCCCTGCTGCAAAAACTATTTGCAATGGTCCAGGATTATTATTCCAATGAGAGCCCCCATCAGTTTTGTTGTAAGAAAAACAGCATGCAGTCGCAGGACTGATAAACGCCTTGCCTGGGGTCCTCCGGTACTCAAAATCCACACCCATGATTTACTGCTCATTCCCGGGGGGACAACTTATGGGGCATCCACAGTAATCAGGCGCTCTGTGAGGAGCTGGGCTGGCTTCTCACAACTCGTCCCACCACCACCAGCACCACGAACAGTGGCTGACATTTACCGAGGACTCACTGTGTTCAACCCACTGGTACCCAAATGTGATTCCACATCACACGGGGAGCCTTTAAAATGACTCATGCCCAGGCCCCATCCTCGGAATCTCAGAATTGATCATGTCTGGGGTGCAGCCTGGGCATCAGGACTTTTTTTGTGTGTGTGTGAGGAAGATTAGCCCTGAGTTAACATCTGATGCCAATCCTCCTCTTTTTGCTGAGATTGGCCCTGGGCTAACATCCGTGCCCATCCTCCTCTACTTTATATGGGACCCCACCACAGCATGGCTTGATAAGCGCTGCCTCTGTCTGTGCCTGGGATCCGAACCCGCGAACCCCAGGCTGCCAAAGCAGAGCACGCAAACCTAACCACTACACCACCGGGCCAGCTCCCTGGGCATCAGGACTTTTAAACTGTGCTGGCCAATATGGTAGCCACTAGCCATACGTGGCTAACGAACTCTTGAAATATAGCTGGTACAAATTGAGATGTACTGTAAGTATAAAACATATACCAATTTCAAAGGCTTAGTACCAAACAAAATTGTAAAATATCTCATTAATAATTTATTCTATTGATTCCATGCTTCCATTCTATTAATTCCATATATTGGAATTATGATTCCATAATGCCAATTATGATTCCATAATTCCAATATATTTTAAATATATTGAGTTAAAAACATATATTACTTGAATTCATCTAAAAAAATAATAAAACAAATAAACAAAAGCTGCCCAGGTGATTCTAATGGGCAGTAAAGTTTGAGAACCCTTCTGTAGTTCCGAGCTAAGTGTTTACATATATTATCTCATTCCATCTTCAGAGCTATGAGGTTGTTACTAGTTTTACAATAAGGAAACTGATATGCAGAGAGGTTGAGTAACTTGCCCAGAGTCACAAAGCTAGTAAGTGGCAAAGCCAAAATTTGAATCCAGACTCATCCAACCACTGGGCTTGTGCTTCTCGGCCCCTCCCACTGCTGCCCTCCAGCACCCACTGCCTAATGTCTTTTGTTCAATGTTGGCCTCCTCTCACTGGACTGTGGGCTCTGGGGAGGGCGAGGACCAGGTTTTTGCCTGTCTCCCAGGTCCCAACATCCAGCCTAGGGCTGGCACAGAGTGGGGTCTCAGCCAATGGGGGCAGACGGGAGGGCGAGCAGCTTCAGGGCCAGGTAGAGAATTTAGAGAGCAGCTCAGAGGAGAGTGTGATGCCTGCCAGCTGGGGCTCATCCCAGGCTGGGTGTGTCTCATCGAGACTGTGGCTGTCATCAGAGACATGCGATTTAGAGCCAGGGCTGCAGCTGTTGTCCTCTTTGGCACGGAGACCAAAGCGAGCAGGGCTGGGCACACAGGCAGGCAAAGTATAGTCAACCCAGAAAAGGGGAGGACTTTTTAGGAAACATTGTTTTGAACCCAGCAGATACAGTTGTCTTTGGCTGGGAAGGAGAGCTCTGGGATGTGAGCTCCACCCTCCCCACAGGCCGCACAGCACAGCAGTGGTCTCGGGTGGTCTCGCTGCAGCAGAGGCGGGCATTGAGGCCGGCAGCCATTGGAGGACAACACCAAGCCTGGGAGGGGTTAGAAGCCAGCTCAGCTGGCTGACTGGCAAGCCCAGCTCCCCGACCCCTGACGTTCTCCGATGAGGCCAGTATGTTCTTCGTAGACCCCAAAATATTGAGAACCGAGCCTGAAAACACCACCGAACGGAGTGGGACAGTTTCCAAGGCACAACGTCCAACAACAATTCCAAGGAATCTCCTCATTTCTGCTGCTTGTCTCTTCTTCCCTTTTCTAACCTGAAGAATGACCTCAGTTTTGGATAAGAAGAGTAAAAAGGGCTCCATCACTGTTTATTGAAACTCATCTTCACTTTAGGCACAATTTTATTGTTGTTCATGATAATAACTAATAATCATAAAATAATTAACAATATTATTATAATAATAAAATAAAACAATTTTAAAATAATAAAAAATTTATGAGCATTCACTATAGGTCAGGCACTTCATATATTGTTGCGTTAAAATCACAAAATAATCCTCTGAGGGAACAATACTATCCCCATTTTTGCCTATGAGGAAATTGAGACAGAAGTTAAGTGACCTGACTGGAATCTGTGGCCAGGACTGTGAATGAGGCATCCCGGGTGCGACATTTGGGGCGGTGCTCCCCGTCAGGGTCGCAAGAGGGCAGAGTCGACCCCTGAGAGGGAGGGCCACCTCAGACGGTGTGCCTGCCCTGGGCTCCTCACTCGCCTGGCCCGGTCCTGGCACTGCTGATGCACCTCAGCTCACAGTGGCAGAGCTTCGAGGCAAACTCAGATTTCCCCGGTGTCAAAATACATTTTCCTAACCACCAGGCTAACCACCAACCACCATGCAAGAGCTGTGGGGGATGTACAGACTGCCCAATGTGGTATCATCCCCAAGGAGATATGAGTCCAGGAGGTCCCACTGGCCTCAAAAGGTGGGTGGGTTTTAAGTGAGAAGCTGGGAGGAAAGGGGATTTCAGCCAAGGAGAATTGCAAGGAGGACAAAGACATGGAAACTGGGCGGGGTGGGGGTGGGGGTTGGGTTTTGATTTTGCAGAATCACAAAATATCAGATCTTGAAAGAGGTTTCCTTGAGTTGAGGTCGGCTATGCCAGTCTTGCTCCTTCCTCTTTCTTTCCAGCCCTCCTCCTCCAATCCTGCCTAGGTCACAGATGTCCTTGACACACCTTCCCCTCCGGAGGATCTGACTATGTCTAGGCAGAGCAGGCGTCTGGGGCCCTCTATGTGTAAGACACAGGCTCGGGGGGCAGCCACAGCCCTGAAGAGGAGCATTCGGCCCATGCAGTGGTCAGACAGGCCAAGTGACCACAGTAATCTGTGATTTCCAATAGTGCCAAAAATGGACATGTGGGAAGTTCAATTCTGTTTCAGTCTCTCCTGTGGGTTAATTAACTAGGGCATTTAGCTCCTGGCTGATGTGTCTGACACTCATAACAAGGATGAAATTCTGCTTCTCTCATCTGTTGCAGACATAGAACCAGGCTGGCTCCGCTTCCCTAACTTTGGAAAAAGCAGGAGTGTATTATGCACCCCCACTGTTGTCTTTTATGAGTTCAAAGCGATGCTCTAGCTCACTCTGGGCACCATGACTGACTGAAGGTTGATGGTGAGAAGCACGGGCAAACTTCACATCTCTAGGACAGCAGCACTTTCTCCTGGTCTCTAGAGACAGAGGTCTGAATTCACTTTTGGAGGCACATGGCATATTTTTAAATGACTGCTTCAACGGGCCTTCGTTTTGCCAAGAAAAAGCCAAGATCCTATTCTGGAATTGAGAGTTTTGAACTAATAAGGGGCTACAATGCTCAGCAAAATATTGTCAAAGAATGCGATTTTGTAGGAAGGCTGTTCCAAGCCTCAGGGTAAGCGGGGAAAACTGTTGTCGGGTCTTTTATTCTTCTCCAGACCTCAAATAACTTAAACTCAGGGAATTCACTGTCAAGGATCCTCCTTTTGTTGGAAGGAAACTGGACCCTGCACTATGGCAGCAGACTGGTGGTTAGAGAGTATGGGGTGGGGGCAAACATACATAAACCAGTCTCCTCTGCTATCTTCGAGCCTTCGGTAACGTGTTATTTAATGTTTTAGCCTGGGATTAGCCATGCTTCGACATACTCAGGGAAGAGCCTGTGTCTGTGCTGGGAGCAAAGTCACTGGATGAGGGGAATGCCTCAGGAAGGCTGTTTCCTTGGCGTGGAGAAGTGGTCTTCCAAATAGCAGTGGTCTGGAGCCAGACGGCTGGCAGGGCAAACACGAGGGATCTGTAGACTGTGTCAGCACTCTGTGAGGATTCCCAAGAGTACTTGGGAAGAGAGGACTGTAAAGGACGGGGCTTCCTCTAGCCAAGGAAACTGGAGGAATAAGATTATGGCTATTTCAGAATTAAAGCTGGAATGTTCAGGTTGCAGAGAAAATTAAAATTAAATCCAGGACCTATGTGCTTTGCGCGAGTCAGTGTTTTTTGTTCTGTCAGACCCAAGAAGAGCCTACAACTTGCAACTTAATCTGGGTAAATTCTTTTCAATTAACATTGGAGCCGCGTGAAGGGAGAGCCCTAGCCAAGTAACGAGAAAGGTTTCCTTGGCCTTTGCTAACTGCAGAACAGAGCGTCCTCCCTTGGAAAAGTGGCCACTTGCCCCCTGGTCCCTGTACAATGCCAGGCAGAGGGCAGAAACTGCCCAGCATGGTGCAGTGGGGTGTGAGCACAGTCAGGTGACCTGCGGCCTGTGGGTGGAGAATCTGAGAGACGGGGTGGCACAGATGCTGATCACCACTTTTATTGGCTGAAAGAGGATAAAATGAGCAAGGATGGGCTTTCAAAAATGATTTCTAATTCTACATCAAGCATTTAGGTGGCCTCAACTCTCGTTTTGGAACAAGACCGGGCATAAGGAAATAAACTCCATTTTCTTTGCCTATGCCTTACCTGTCATCCATTGTGCCCAGTAGCTCACCAGCTGAGCTGTTGAATTATGAGGGCGGTGTATGTACTCAATACTTCCATGATGAGAAGTCTGAGGTCCCCTCTGGATAGGGTAACTCCAAGTGCAGATCCTGAGCAAACACTGTTATTCTATGAATATTGGCTTTCACTTAGCTCTGCAGAGAACAAGGCTGTAGGGTGTGTTCTCCACCTGGGCTGGGCTCAGCCTGCACCCCAAATCCCAGCTGGATCCTGTGTACTTAGGGTCCCAAAGGAAATCAACTGAGAAGTGGGATGAGGCCGACCCATCCCTGCGCTGGGCACTCTCAGCCATGGCTGCAGGAGCAGGTTAAAGAGAAGGCAGGGAACTTGGAAGGTGGGTCCAGGAAAGAATTTGAGTCCTCACTCTGGAACTCACTAACCGGGAGGCCTGGAACTGATAACAAGCTTGCATTTCCGTCTCTAAAATGGGAATGTTATTCTCTGGCTTACCCGTGTCACAGGAGGGCCATGAGAATCACACCACTCAACTGGCCAGCAAGTTTGTGATGTGCAGAGTCTTCTTCAAAATAAAGCCTTTATAACCACTGATTGTTTTGAGTTCGGTACCTGTATATCAATGGGGCGGTTGCAGATTTTTCCTGGGTGAGCAGCCCGGACGTCTGAAATTTTCTCCCCACCTTTAGTCTGCGGCACTTTATCATGTTTGAACCACTCTGTCCACTCCACGTCTAGGCAGAGAGCAAAGAGCAGGGTCAGACAGGAAAGGCCCGGGAGGGCCAGCCATGCTCAGTGTAGTCCCAAGCACCCTCGGCACAGCAGGACTTGAACACCATCTGTCCAAGCTGCACCGGCCTGGGGCACCGGAGGCTCGTAAATAATCGGCCAACTCTCCCACCTTTTAATTCAAAACTCCTCGTATTGACTCTTAATTTTATAAAAGCAATAGATACTCTTCATTATTGCAAAAAGAAGAGAGATGAAATCCATCCACAAACCCCTTATCCAAGGACGGCTGCCTTGTGCACCCCAGTCCCCACGTTGGGGCTACTTGAAGGTGGGGTCCTGTTCCTGTCTGCATTTCCCATTCAGGGCCTTTGCCTGGCACAGAAAGGTATTCTGTGGGGGAAAACATCCCTCCGGACTATTGCCCACTGTGGCTTGATGAATTCAAGGCAGCTTCCAGTTGCAAATTCAGCTGACTCTGCAACAGTTAAGTGGTCTTATTGGCACAAAAGAAAAATCCTTGTTCTACAAAGATAGTAAGTCCTGGCCTTTTTATCTCACTGGTAGGTAGGTTTTACCAGGTTGTCCCAAGTTCCTCACCTTGAACCCACTCGCTAGATGAAGAAACATTGAAAAGCTCGCCATGCTCTGACCGGAACAGTTTGAATACGCGGGCAGCTGCAGAGCCGCGGTGTCCTATAGGAGAGACCAGACGCATTACCAACATGACAGACTCCCACATCCAGAAGGATGTGATCTTAGAGAAAGGATCTCTGCCTTTCTCTAAGGCAGAGAAAGCCCTCTACACAGACTCATCTTGAGCCATTTATTAAAAAAAAAGTTTCAGGTCAATCTTTCCATTTGGGAAGCAGATTATTGTCCCTTCTTGGATGAGATGAGACTGGATTTGAACGGGCAGTGCCTTCCTCAACCTTCTCTGGGCAGAGGAAGCCGCCACTATGTGGTAAAGACCATCCAAGGTGTCTTTTTAGCTCAAATATCACCCCTGCTGGCTCTGTCCCAGTTCTCACCTTTCCTGTGTCACGTGTTTTGGATTGTCAATGCCAATTTCTTTGAAAATGTAAATATCACCTTACTGATTGACTTTAAATCAGTGTTGACTTTTGGCACTTTCACGTGACATGGCCAATTAAGCGGCTGGTCACTCAACTGGGTGTGGGGAGATGACCACCAAGTCCTGAGGGAAGTGGGTGGTTTGGAAAGACCCTGAGCCTCTTGCTCAGAGAGACACTGAGGGAAATAGGCCTCTCGCCAGCTCTTTATTACCGTGATATTCAATATGGTCTTCAACGGAAGACGAGGGATTTCCTTTCACGGTTACAAAACTCCAAGGGTGTCTGAAAAAAACAACAACAGAAAGTGAAGTTCTTCACACGCTTGAGCTTGTTCTGGAGGCAGAGCTGAAACGGCGTCCCGAGGATGAGCGGCCCTCCTGGCTGTTCACGGGCTGGGCTCCCCTTCTGCACGGCCTTTCTTTGCAGCCCTGGCCTTCAAACCACCTGGCCGCCGGATGTTTGTGGATTGTGAGCTTCTTCAGCTCCATTCTGGCAGGAGACGGGGTACGAATCACAAATTAACAAACAAGCCCACAGACCTTCGTACCACAAGCCAGGCTCAATTAGGTCCTGAAGCAAGTGCTCTCATTCCTTTAGGAAAACAAGGAACAGGGTCCAAGAGAGAAAGGTTGTTTCCCTCAAGCCCAGCTCCCCAGAGTAAAGCTGGAGGAAGATATCAATGGCTGATGTGACTGATTACCCAGCGATCTGCACTGGGTCTTGGGATGGAGAGAGACACCACTTCTTCATTGAAGTGAAGGAGAAAAACAAAGGGGAACAGTTTGAAAAGTTGTGTATCCATCTTTCCTCTACTGAAGCGTGCACTGCTATATGGCAGGGAGATTTTCTCACCCATTTTTGTCTTCCCCCTAATGCCTAATATAGCCTCTCTCTTACTATGAGATATCAATAGATTTTGGTCCTCAATAGCTTTTATTATTTTTGTTTTAATCTCTTATCTTGGAAAATAAGTCTTTATTGAGGTTGGAGATTTGACTGTGTCACTCTTGTGTCAAGTCCTTCAATGGTCCCCCATTTCCCTTTGGATAAACCAAGCTTCTTGGCACAAAGCAAAAGGCCCTCCTGTGCCCGCCTCCTCAGCCTTATCCTTCTCCCCTCCCACTCTTGCAAGCCCTCCTGCTACCTGTACTTCCCCCATGTCTTCAGGAGAGCCACACATTCACCCCTGGGCCTCTGCACATGCTAGTCTCTTGTGGAGAATCTCCTTGCCCTCATCTTCACTGCAGGTCTGCACGAAAGCCCCCCTTCTGCCTTTTGCCCACTCTCTTGCTCTCTCACGTCCCATCATCATTCTCATTCAATGTCTGCTCTCCCTTGAGAGCTCTGTACATCTAGTCTAGCCTACGACTTACGCCAGTATCTGCTCAACAACCACCTCTTCTATGAATGAACAAACGATGGGTTCAAGTCTCAGTTCTTCTACTGATTTTAGATGCTTTGAGTTTATCATTCAAAGTGTGTCTATACAAATGAGGGGTAAAAATGTAATTCCTGCCTACCTATTTCCTTTACCCATGGGAATGGCCAAGACAAAACACTGTACGCATCCTTCCCATGGCTCTTGTTTATAAGAAGTGAAAAACTGCTAACATTTACTGGGTCCTTATTCTGTGCCAGACCCAACGGCAAATATTTTGCTCACATTATCACATTTACCTTCCCAAAAGCCCTTTGAGATGGGTCCTGACAGATTCCCATGTTACAGATACAGGAACGACACAGAGAGAGGATGAGTCACTCGCCTGCGGTCACACCTAACAGGAGGTGCAGCCCAGACTCAAATTCAGGCTAAATCAGGTGCCACATCTTAGACCTTCTTCTGCTGAGGCCCTAAGTAGCCAGTCCCTTTGTGGTTCTGTCTCTCATTGTAAATTAATAAACTGGCCTTTTTTGGGCCGGCCCCATGGCTCAGCGGTTAAGTGTGCGTGCTGCGCTGCTGGTGGCCCGGGTTCGGATCCCGGGCGCGCATCGATGCACCGTTTCTCCGGCCATGCTGAGGCCGCGTCCCACATACAGCAACTAGAAGGATGTGCAGCTATGACATACAACTATCTACTGGGGCGTTGAGGGGAAAAAATAAACAAATAAAATCTTTAAAAAAAAAATTAACTGGCCTTTTGGCTTACAAAACAATGAAATGGAAGTGCTGTCCGTTTTTGCTAACAAAGGAGCTTTGCGACACCAAGGTGTGGTTGTCATCTTTGGCTGCTTGAGTTTCCTGCCCAGACCCTTCCAGAAGGAGCAGCCCCGGGGCTGTTGGAGAATGCAACCTGGAGCGCCACTCCGTGCCCAGGGGATCTCTGCCCAGCCAATAAAATCGCTTTGCTTGCAGCCCAGAAAAGCCTCTGCCCTGCCCACGATCCTGCCCATGATCTTGCCCACGATCTGTGGAGCTGAAGGGAGGGGCACCATTATCTCCCAACAGCCACGGGACAGACAACCTCAACTTTCCACTGAGGTGAGATCTGATTCAACATGATAAAAAGGTGTGGTTACTTTGGGGTAAACGGGGTAACCGGTTTTCTCTTCATGCCAATGTGTGTGCACACCAAAGTCAGGCGTGACGTTGTAATCTGAGGCAAGGAAAACACACGCTGGAGCACGTCAAAGGTCCTTCTCCCCGGGTGCTTGGCTGGGCAGAGACACTTTGCATGATCTCTAAACAAATGTCTGCCTATCCCTGAGGCACAACACAGCCCCTTTGCCATGAGCATCTGCTGTACATCTGAGGTGTGGCCTTACACACAGCAGGTGCTCAACGAATATTTTCTAGGTGATTGCCTGAATGAGTTCATATTAATGAGACTTTTTGTGTTTTAAGAGTGGAATATGCTTGTAAAAAAAACCAGACTCCCTTTGAGAACAAGCCCCAATATGTCCGATGCAGATGCATAATGTGCCTGCATCTCCCTAAGTCACCACCGAGGGTAGAGTGGCCACGGGGAAAGGAGGAGGCAAAGGTCAACTCTGCCTGGGATGTTGCTCCAGTGTTCTGGAGCCTTGGGAGGTGGAAGTGATGGGCAATACCTGAATCCAAGGTGTAAGAAGTGCTTGCTGCCCAGTCTGGTCATCGCCTTCCTGGCCACGTCATCCAAGTTTCGAGATCCTTCATCATTCACCGCAACAGAAAGGATCCTGCCGTCGGGTACTGCATTCAAATACTGGACCAGACGTTCACTCTCCTTCTTGGATCTATAGGTGTCAAACCTAACAAGGGCCGAGAGAGGGGACTTTAATAGTCCTAGAAGCAGCCAAAAAAGAGAGATCTAAGCACATGTCTATATTGCCATGTCATCCAAAGATCCCAAGGGCTGTGATTTTTAAAGAAAGACGCTTTTATTACAGCAAAAATCGGTCATCTCAAACTTGACACAGATCCTCATACACATAAAACATCCATGAAATACAGATCTCAAAAAATCTATACCACTGGTGACAAGAATTTACAAAGGAAAGACACAATTTTGTAATGATCCCAACTCTGCCCCATGTTAAGTATAAAGATTTTGTGCAATTACAATGGAAATTCCAAAAGAATTTGCCTTGGGACTTAACAAGCAAAATAGTTCTAAAACAAATCTAAAAAAATAAACCAGCATGAATAGCCAAGATTTGGGAAAAGGAAAACACTGGAGGCACGGTGGTCACTGGACAGGTGCTCCTGAGTCCTCAAACCTGTTTTCAACTGTTGGCATAACCTGGTCCCACCCGCCCAAGCCCCTTGCTCTCCCCGCCCCTCCCCAGGAATCACCTGCGGCAAGCCGAGCACGTCCAGGGCCCTGTGACCACACCACACGCCCACTCCTGTCTTCACTGATGCAACTCCACGTTTTCTCCACCTAATCAGGTGCCTGCTACCTTCCAAGAGCTGACCTGAGTTCTTACTCCTCTAGGAAACCTTCCCAGGTGACATAGCCTGCATTTACGTGTGTGTGTATGTTTAGTGTTTATTAATATCTTTACTCATGCACATTTAGCTATCAGATTCTTGAGGCCACTGACACACATTTTGAGCAAAGGAGACTTGGAAGGAGCAGGCATTCTGTCTCTGGAACCTCCACATCAGCTGTAAGGATAACTTCTCATTATCCAGTTCAAGAATGAATTCAACTCAAGGTTGGCTTGCTGCAATAACCATACTGCACTGATTTAAGAAGCAGCACATGACTGAGGAGACTGTTCTCTCCCGTGAGAAGGTGGGGGCTCTCTGACATACTTTGTGTCAGCCATGCTCACCCTGGCCTCATCTGTCACCTGTGGGGTGAGGACTGCCACCAGGGCACTGTGGAGGCAGAGAGCGGTCAAGGGTCTGGGCAGATCTGGATTTGAATCCCAGCTCCAACAGTTACCAGCCATGTGATTCTGAGCAAATTTAGCCCTGCTGAACCTCAGTGTTTTCATTTGTATAATGTGGATAATAACAGAACCCACCTCTCAGGGGGTTTATGAAGATTCAGTTACTTATGGCAAATAAAGCGGGTAACACAGCGTGCTGCACAAAGTCCAGTGATTGTGTTATTGTTACTAATATTCACCAGAGGGCAAGGTTGGCTATCCAGCCTGCTCCTGCCCAACCTGCCCCTGTTGGGGCAGCCGGTTCCCCGCTATACTTCCTGTGGACACAACAGCTCACACCCTGTTCTCGAGAGTTCCGCGTCTCCCTCCTCCCGCAGCACCAGGATAGCTCTCTCCGCTTGTCTACCCCCACTGCGTCCTTTCTGGTGGATCTTTCCCTCCAAGTGGCTTGGGAAAGCCTCTGTAGGGCCAGGACAAGAGCCCCCGGGAGCTTGCAGGGCAGGTCCTGCCTCTGCAGAATCTGCCAGCTTACATCAGAGCCAGGGAAGGCGGTAGAGAGGAGCGAGCAGGACACCTGCGTTCTCTGCCACCTAAAAAGCTCTCAAGTTCACCCACTTCTATTGCCACGGCTTCTACTTGAGTCCTCGCCAGCAACACCTCTGGCCTAGACCACCACAGAGACCTCCTCACCACCTTCGCCATCTCTATTTTGGCCTCCACAATCAATTCGTTCTCTACACAGCAGCCAGAATGTTCTTTTAAATCAGATCACACCCTTCCTAAAGACCTTCAGTGGCTTCCCATCCCACTTAGAACAAAACCCACCTCCTTCCCGTGGCCTTCAAGGTCCTGCCCCTGCCCCTGCCTAAAACTCCAACACGATCGTGCATGTTCCCATTGCTCTCCGTGCTCAATCTCTCTGCTGGCCCTCCTGTGCTTGGAGGACATCACGCTCTTTCTCACCCCTGGCCCTTTGCACCTGCTGCTCTCTGTCCTGAACACTCTTCCCCTGACCCATCCTCACCCTGCAGCTTAGAACTCTCAGTTTAGGCGTGGCTTCCTTGCCCTCCCCTGACCACTTGAAGCAAAACGATCTTCCTAGTTACTCTCTACCATGTCACTAGGTCTTTTTTCCCCTAATAACCAATTATCACAGTCTGAAACTCTGTTGTGTGTACATGCTTGTTTCTGTTGAATCAGCTTCACACGGCAGATGCCTCAGGAAGGAGGCATGGAACCCCTGAGGTCAGGGACTCCTGTCTGGGTCTTTCACTGCTGCCCTCCCAGCACCTAGAGCTGCGTGTGGCTAGGGCCCAGGCTCAGGAAGTGTATGCTGAATGAATGAATGAGTATGTGTTTATGCGAAGGCAAACCTTACCGGTCAGAATGGATGACTGTCCCTGATTTGGGGTCGATGACATGAACAATGACTCCACGGTGACCCCAGCTCCTTTCAAAAAAATAGCCTCCCTCCTCCATGCCACCTGGGTGAAGAGTCTTGTTCAGAAACGTCCAGGAGAGCTTTTTCCGTCCATGCAGCTCAAGGGTGCCTCCTTTGCCGACTCCAATGTACTTCAGGCCATAGTAAGGGTCCGGCTGAACACCTTCATCAGCCCTACGAGAGAAAACAGCTCCCCAAAGTCGGCCGACACTTCTCTTTGCTGGACGCTGAGCCCAGAGGGGCCTGCACTACTCCTGACTCCCACTGTGGCTGGCATAGAGCCAGTCACCTCGGTGATCGCACAAGGCCTGGAGAAACAGCATTAGCGCCCAGGTCTTCCTAAGCCACACGAAACGAATCCAAAGGCCACACGGAAATATTGATCATAGTTTACATATTGGCACTTCTTTTCGGTTCTAACTGCTCTGTATTTTGGTCCATATCAGATGTGGAATCACCTGAACACGTGCTGCATACCCTTGCGTACCCTTGGCGACCACTTCTTAGAACTCTCAATTACTTGAAGAGGGAGCAGAGCCAGAGGCAAATACTGCATGGAATATTTCTTTATCTTGTCCATCGTAACGTTAAGTACACACTTGCAGAGATTCCCTGAGCCATGACATGATTGGAAGGTGGCTGAAAGCTTGGCAGGGACTTCTGTAACTTAAGTACAGACCCAGGTCAGGATAAAAATGCCTCGTGTACTTCTCTAGCTCACTCAAATCACCAATGTCTGTCTTGTTCATGATTACGATCTGGCAGTACATAATAATAATTCCTGTATTGCACTAAAACCTCGCCATCTTGCCTCCCTCTCTCCTTTGGAAAGCCTCCTTCCTGTCAGATCCAAGAGTAACATTTGACCCATGGAAGCTGTCTACCCACCTTCCGTACAAAACGATGCTGAAATTGCCCTGGAAAGGGCAGAGGGCACTCCCAGCATGCAGCTCTCCTCCGTTGTCAATCAAGATGTGCCGGGTGCGCAAAACGATTGTCTCATCATGATCTTTAATGACTAGCTTTCCTGAAGAGGTAGGGATGGGGTGAGGTTTCAGAACACGAGTGTTAGTGGTGAGGTTTTAGCAAAGCCAAGGGCTGACCTCCTGAGCCTCCATCTCAGGCAGGCCGGCAAGGAGGCACATCTTTCAAACATTTCTATGCTTGCTGTGTTTACAAGTGGTTACTTTTCTCTTCTCTCTGCCTTGCAATGCTTAAATAATGCCTGCCTGGTTTACTTACTGCCATCAGTGCATGCAACGCATTCAATGAGCAAGCATTTGAAGGTAAGATAACAGGACTGCTCAGAGCACCAATAGGATTTTCCTCTATAAATGCTTCTTTCACTAAGATCGGACCTCTGACAAGCCATTCCTAAGCGCTCAGAGCTGACGGTTTCTCAAACAACCAGATGCTCTGACACGAACCCAAAGTGTGTGACATTTGTTCTGTCCCTCTGAAGTTATGGCAACCTGCATCTCATCTTCTAGGATCTGAGGCCATGCAGTGGGGAGAGACCAGGGGGAGAAACTGGCTTACCTCCCTCTGAGATGTGGATGGAGTGGACCGTGGCGGAAGAGGTGAGCAGCAGTGTTCTGCTCTGGCCGATGTACACATAGTGGTCCTTGTCATGGCCAGGGTTCCAGGGCTGCAGCTCAGGGCTCTGGTCAGGACACTCGGTTGCCACTGCCAAGGACAGAGAGATGTCACCACTCCTATCGACCAACCTCACCAAGCAAGGATTGCCACAGACCACAAGAGGGGCTCTCATGCATCTTCATGGCTCCTGCCTCCTCTCTACTAGAACTAAAAGCAAGGCCTTAGAAAGCAAGTGGACCCCCGGAATACAGAAGCCAGGAGCCCGGGGTCCAGTCCTTGTCTTTCATTAATTCATCATGTATCTGTGAACAAGTCACTTCCCTCTTCTGGGCTCGGTTTTTCCCTTTATAAAATGAAGGGTAGACCAGATGGCTCCTCAAGACATTCCAAGACCTAAAGTCAGGCCACGGTATACCTAGATGGCTTGTATCCCAAGACATTCTTTCCTTTGGGAAGCAGTTATTTGAAGAGTTAACAAAGCCCATTCCCCCTCTGCATGAGAATTTGACTTTTAGTTAATTTTCTAGCTCTGTTCCCCGGGAAACCTGAGAAAGATAGTATTATATAAACTATGTTACCAAGCAACATTGCTTATATTTTCAAAAGTGACCCCCAATTAGTAAATGGCATCTAAACTGGGAGGAACTACACCTAATTTATATCTATCCCTGGTGGGGCTGTCTCGCTGAGGGTTCCCTGAGGGTGCTCGTAACTGGGCACGTCCCAGTCAGGAACTCTGAAAGCTACATCTGTGGAGTTGCTATAAGAAGCACTGGTTCTGGTAGGGCGTGAGGCTTCTAGGCCAAGGTGGTTCCCACACCTGTCCAGCGACAATGCTGTCTCCTCTCACCTGAGGAGCTGTCACCTGGGGAACCAAAGAGGACAGCTCTGGAAGGCTGTGCGGAATGCTGCCAGGACTACTCCTGTGGAAGAGAAAGCTGATGCCACTCTGAGGGCTGGCTGTGTTTCTGTCCTAGATCCTCCAGAGTGAGTCTGGCGCCAAGTGCGGCCCCTGGCAGCCGCATGAGTCTGAACGGCTAGTTGAACTGAAAGCCCTGTGCTGGGTGCTGCAGAGGCTCTTCTCCCAGCCCCAGGGGAAGCACCAGGAGGAGCCGCCTCCTCCTCCTCTGGCTCACGGGCTCCAATCCAGCAGTGCACCACGGATGGAGGAGGGTGGAGGGCTGTCAGAAACTGGAAGGATTTCCCTGCATAGCAAGGAAAAATCCAGAGGGAAAGAGGTGGGACAAGGCAATGGGCAAAACAAAACGAGGATGACTTGCCTCAAAGAACAAGCCCCAATGCCTTCCTTTTTTCCACCCCTAGAAAGTCGTGAAGTATGAAACAGAAGATGTTAAAGTACCCTGGGGTGAGGACGGAGAGGTGGGAAGGTGCTCGCAGTGAACTCACGGCAGGGACAAGGTTTCGGGGAGTGAGGACCCTGGGGAGCTGCTGGAAGGAATGGATGCAAGCGCCCCAGCTCAGGCCCTCAGGGAGGGTGCCTAAGGGAGGTCATGTCTCCTGAGCAGAGTGGGTGCCGTGAACAACATCCACAACAGGAATGGGGACCCCAGAAGGGATTCTGGCTTCAGTACAATGGCTAGCATGTCAGTTGTAAATGTTACTTGATTTTTATTCGGCTCTCTCTGGGGCAGAGTGTCTGTCCCATATTTATGTATCTCAAGAGAACTGGAAGGGAGCTGCTCCTTTATCTATACTCAGCACCAGGTATCAGCCCCGGAGGCCGTATTGCAGTGTGGGAGATCAAGATTTGGCCACCCTGAAATCTATCTCTTTACCGTGGTTGTTTTCTCTAGGGACATTTGACCTCCCCCACTAACTGCCTAAAGAATTTGACATGGTGGCTCCTTCCTGGAACAGATCTATCATGATGGCTGTAAAGATAACGTAGGGTAAATGTTACAATAGGAAAGGCACCAACAAGCCCCTCTTATCAGAAGTTCTGTCTCTCTGGCCACATTCTCTGGATGACCCTGCGAAGAGTTGCCAGACAATCATTTACATTTATAAGGGAAATCTCCATTTGTAAAGGTATCTCCCTCTCTGTTTGGAGAAGAGAGGGGGATGAGCTCATCTCTAGTGACTTATCAATGTGGAAGGTGAGGCCTTGAGCTACATAATAAACCTTACTCTTGTTTACTGTGCTTTAGTGGTAATCTCCTGTAACTGACTCCCCCCACCCCCAAAATCCTCCTTTGTCATTGGCTGAAAATGATATTTAAGATGAGAATTTCTGCTATTGTGTTGAGAAACGCAGTGTCCCTGCTTTCTCCCATGTATACATGTTATTAAACTTGGTATTATTTTCTCCTGCTAACCTGTCTTGTTGATTATTTGGCCAGCCAGAAGAACCTTAAGGGAAAGGGCAGAGGGAGATTTTCTCTCTTCCCCCGACAGCAGCATCTGTGCCCATCTGAGAGCAGTGCCCAGCCCTCCTCTTCTCTGCAGAGCACAGTGCAGGCATTCGGCGCAGTTTGCTGAGTCCTGTTCCCCATCCTCCACCACCCCACAGCCCCACAACACCTGTCCTTTATGCTCATTTGCCCCACTATGAGTCCTAATTCAGGCTCTGGATCTCTTTCATTAAGAAGAGAATTTCACATTTTTTGGACTTTTACTGAAGCAGCTCTTCCAGCTGTCATAAACCCTGAGGGACTCAAGTAGTGGCAAAGCAATGAAAAAAAGTGGGGCTTGCTCATCAGAGGACTTTCCATTTTCACATAAGAGAGCAGGGTTGCCAGCGAGGTGCCAGGCTGGGCTGGGGGGTGGGCTCTCTGCTTCGGCAGTCAGCAGCCAATGATGGTCATGAGGGCTCTGGAGCCTCCGACCCTCTGAGCGGCTTCTGAGGGCCAAGGTCCCACCCTGGGTTTGTCTTCAGATGGGTCAAGTGCTTGGTTGGCTTCTAGCAGAGGCCAATCAGGAGCCCTGGGCTGCCCTCCACCTAGTCCTGGACCTGGAGCCTCCGTTTTCCAGGAGGTGACTCCCCAGCCGTGTGGGGAATGCACGTGGCCAACTGGCAAGCCCAGTGGTCCAGGCACGGAGCCGTGAGCATTCTGAGAAGGAATCATTCCAACTCCCCAGGACAAAGCCTTAGAGTGTCACTGCCCACATCTCCCAGGACAATCCTGACTGTCCCTTTCCTCTCCAAGTGCACGCGCTTGCGTTAGTCTCTGCATCTGCATTTGGAGGTGGTCAGCCTGATCTTGAGCCTCTCCTGTCATCAGGAGCACAATGCCCCGAGCTCCAGCAGCTCCGACTCCCCCAGCAAAAGAACAGCAGTTACAAGATTGGTTCCTTTGTTGGGGCTGGATGTTTTGCTCTTGGTAAAGGTCAGTTTCAGTGGGTTTTTATTTGTATGAACCAGCTAGTGGCTGGAAACAGTCAATGTCTCTGCTGAAATATCACCACGGCAACCACCCTTCCTGGGAGGGGCCACAGGAAGCAACATTGCGGATGAACACAAGCCCCACCTACTCAGAGCATGAATGGCAGGGGCTGGTGCCTGCAACTCTCTGACATCAGAGGAAAGCACAGCCCAGAGGGGACCAGAGGCACAGCCTCTTTTCCAAATGGTTTACACCCAAACAGAAGAGAGATATCCAGGAAGTGGGAGGAAATATCCAGGGAAGTCCCTGATTAGACCTTCCCAAGGCCCTGAGGTGGATCACACTAAAGGGAAATTCAAACCCAGTTCCTGGCACAGAGTCCATGACCTCTTGGTGTCTTTTAATTGAATAAATAGTGGAAGGATAAATGAACGAATTCAGGGAACATCGTCAATTGTTGCATTGAAAGTTAAAATACGGATTTCCTTTTTTTTTTTTTTTTAAGAAAGATTAGCCCTGAGCTAACATCCATGCCAATCCTCTTTTTGCTGAGGAAGACTGGCCCTGGGCTAACATCCATGCCCATCTTCCTCCACTTTAATATGGGACACCACCACAGCATGGCCTGACAAGCGGTGCGTCGGTGGGCACCCGGGATCCGAACCTGGGCCTCCAGCAGCGGAGCGCACGCACTTAACCACTACGCCACAGGGCCGGCCCCAAAAATACTGGTTTCTTGCTACGTCTCCTCAGGATAGGAAAGATTCTACAAGGAATGACTTTGAAGGAATTTCATTAGTTATGATTAGAGATTACTTCCTTCCATCAGTGGGTTGAAAAAAATAGAATATAATACAATGGAAGGTCCTTTATTCTTATTGTAGAAAAGTATCCAGCTCAATTAATAATAGTAGCATTGAAAAAAGAGCAATCAATGGTGATGGTAACATTACTAAACTTCTAGTAAAAATTAAAAAACTGTCCGCCATCTCTCACCTTCTTCTACCTCTAGTTTGGGTTATTCGATTGTTGTTTTCTGCAGCCCGTGCAAACAATCCTCATGCTTCTGGATGTCAATTCAAAATCACTCAAAGAAAAAGCAGACGATATTGAGAAAAATAGATCTAAATCCCGTCCAGAACATCACAGCTGACAAGGTGCTCTAATGTAGCCAGATCTTAGGATGGCAAAGCAGGAACGGAACATTGAGATCAGGTGGCCCAGAGGTGGCAAGCTGGCTCGCAGTTGTGTGTTTTTTTCTGGCCCCCCAAAGTGGTTTGGAAAATTTGGATTGGTTACCAACACTTAACAGGTAGGGAGCTTTTACGTGAAAATCTAGATTTCTGCCTTCTCTTAAACTCACGAGATCCTGCCACAGGGACCCCACCTTCACACGCAGCAGCAATTGGCCAGAACCGCAAAGTGGGTTCCCTTTAGAGGGGTCTGAACTCCTCAGGGGACCACCCTTACCTGGCCAGCTCCACCGGTCATGCCACTTGCCTGCCTCCTGTAGACACTGAGTTTGTAACCCCTCAGTCTGGTCCAACCCCTTCACTTTGTGGATGACAAAACTGAAGCTCAGGATGAGACGTGCCCAGGATTAAGGAATTAGCAGGGACAGGTCAGAGCCCAGCCACCCTGAGCCCGCCCCCGTGGCTCCTTCTCCTGGCCTCCCAGCAGCCTTGCTTCAACAAGGGGCTGTGCCTTCCTCGCTGAGATGCGAAAGTCCAACTGGTTTGCGGTGGCTCACCTGTGGATGTGGCCCCAGGAACGTGGGCCAGGATGAGCCCACTGATCATCAGCATCACCCCGAAGGAGAAGTCCTGCCCACCAGCAGCTCCCATCCTGGCAGAGTGTGTCCTGCAATGGAAGCACGCCGAGTCAGACCTGCAGCCTCCGCGGGCTGGAGCCAGCGTGTGGGGCAGACGCAGACACAGACAGGGCCACATGCACACACAGAGGCAGTGCCAGCGTGGGCACACTCCCGCCGGCCAGCACAGAGTCCTCGGCCACCATGACTCAGGGCTGGGCAGATTGGGGCATGTAAACCCCGTCATCACCCCACCCGTGGCCTGCAGCTCAGAACCCCAGTGAGGGATGGAATTTCATCCTTGGCGCTCACGTTCCCTCCCCTCCAGAATGAAGCTTTTTCTTAAGAAACAGAAAAAACAAAACATACTTCTACTGAACGTGAGCTGGAAATTAGAGGCCACCAACTTGCTGTGTGAGCTCAGCTGATATGATTAACTGCCTCGGGCCTCAGTTTCCTAATATGAAAAATGAGAATGTGGACAGGCTGATTTCTAAACTTTACTCCACCTTTAGCAGTGTAGTTTCTAAAACAAGTCTTGATAATAATATTGAAATCCTAAATATGGATGCCTGTGTATTACAAACCCTCTTCATACCACCTATCCAAGAGGAAAGTGGGGCGGAGATAGCTGATTGCCCCCCCAATATCAAATTTTCTCTCCTTACTCAGTAACAGAACCCCTGATTTTTATCTGGGCACGTGGCCATCTAGAATAAAGGCTACCTTCTCCAGTCTCTCTTGCATTAGTTGTGGCCTTGGAATTAAGTTCTAGCCAATATAGCAGAAGTACAGTGTGTGAATCCCAGGAAATGTCCCTAAGGGCAGGCAGGAAGACTTTCTCCCCTCCTCCTCCTTCCTGCTGGCTAGAAGTGGACCTCACGGCCGGATCTTCAGCAGCTGTCTTTGGCCACATAGTGGGGGCCAGGCACTGAGGACGGCACAGCAAGCAGAGAGAAAGAACTGAGGTTCCTGCTCTGCAGAGAGCTGAAATGGCCTGACTATGGATATACTTTTATGTGAGAGAGAATTCAACTTCTATTTTATTAAACCCACTTATTTTTTTTTCTTTTACTCATACAGAAGGTGAATATGGGAATCTGCCTAGATAAACTTCAAGAAAGGAACTTTGAAAAGAAGATGCCAGATTCCCCTTTCAGAATATAGGGCCACTTGGGGAAACATTTTTGTCCTCAAGTCCTATGTGGCACACACAGATTGCTCAGACTGGGCTTGGGGAATGGCCAGATCTGGCTTCCATGCCGTCGTTCCCAGAAACAAACAGACATTCTCCCACACTGAGAAAAGGGCCTGAATCTGTCTCACGACACAGGCTCCTCCCTCTGAACTAGCTGAGGAACAAAGCTGACCATCCCTGACCTTTCAGCTCCAGGTGAAGCCCTTTGTGTGCACTCCGTGAGTCGGGGCAGGCGAAAGGGATGAGTCGGGGCAGGCGAAAGGGTCTCACATGGAGCACACAGGCGTGCTGGGGAGGAAGGAGAGCGAGGAAATGATACTCAGAATCAATGCCCGCGGTGTCCCCTTAACAGGCGCCCTGCCTGGCCCAGGTCTGATCTGCAGAGAACAATGGGGCCCATTCTAGCCTCTTCAGTCGATCGCTGGAGTCACCCATCGCAGCATCTGGGAATGGCGCCTTTCCCATGGCCCCCAGGAGAGGAGTGTCTGCTTTGTGCCCTTTGCAGTAGAAAGGAGGGGAGAGTGGGGACAGGACTGTCTCGTGGTTCTCAGGGGAAGCCAGGGCCCTGCTCTCAAGTCTAAAAACCAAAGGCAGTTTTCTGTCTGCTGCCGAGAAGCCCCGAATTGTCACGGGGCTCCTCTTAAGGGAACCTGGATGTTTAGGCCATGAGCTGGCACCTTTGCGTGGTAAAGGAATGTGACAAGCACCAAGGTTGGAGGTGACAGGGCATGGGAGGCAGTCTGGCTGCAGGCAGCTCTCCTGCCCTCACTGTCGGGTGACCCTTGTCACGGCACCTCCTTCTGTGGCCTGGGACTCCCCAGGTGCAGAGTGGGAGTTGGCACACAGGGACTTTAGAGCTCTGACATCTTCCAATTATATCATAGGTCATTTCAAAGACAGAAAAAATCACTTTCTGGACAGACGTAAAAACAATTCCACTTGGAGGGATGATGCTCAAATGCTCTTGTTCCTAACATTAAAGAGACCAGAGTCTGCTGTCTCAGAGCCAGCCATGTCTGAGCCATCAGATCAAAGAGACCCCTCTGTCCACAGGGGTGAGCCCCACATTGCCGGGGGCCGGTCCTCCATGCCCTCTCGCCCTTCCAGCGCCTAAGTACAGAAACCCTGAGAAACTTTCTGTTGAGGTGAATCCCCAAAGATTCTCAAATTTCACTTGGGAATTCTTCACCCAGGGAGGATGGCTTTCTCCGTTGGCCACAGAAAGCCTTCTGGCAACAGGAGATGCGATCCGGCTTCCCGGGCTGACGAGACACTGTCTTGAAACGGGTCCCAGCTATTGAAGGCCTGAGAAGAGTGCATGGTGGCTAACAGTTCTAGAAGTTTCCGCAGGAAGCTATTGGCAGGAGGCTGGCTGACTGCTGCCCTTGCTGGGTCCTGATGGCCCTGAGCTGGCCTTTTCCTTAAAGGTGCAGCAGACCTCTTCAGCAGAGCCTGTGTGGAGGAAGAAGGTGGCCGCGCTTTTTGGAAGGCTGGCACTTCGGGATATTCCTTAAGTCTTCACAATAACAAGCTAAAGTTTTCCAGAAGCTCAGCATTCCCTAGTCCAGCTGCTGCTCGTCCTTGTATTTGTCAGGCCTCCCAGGGATGAGGAGCAGAAGCAGGAGCAAGAGACGCTGCCCGCGCTCACACAGCAGGCGCCTGGTCTGTGCTCTTCCTCCGGGCAGCCCGGCCACAGCTGCCCTGGGGCCCAGAGCTTGTCACCTGCCGAGCAAGAGGAGCAGTGTTATTCAAGCCTCCAGAGACGCCCCTGAATCCTGGCCAGACCTCCCAGAGCAGCCGCACCAGCAAGAGCACACCCACGGCGTCCTGGGCCCAGGATGAGAGTTCACACTGCCTGCAGAGCCGCGGAGCCCGGACCCTCTTCAGGGACCACGGCGAGCGGAGGGAGATGCAGGTGGGGAGAGGGTCAGTTTAAGCTCGGAGCAGGGGCAAGCGGAGATCTGCGGGGTGATCCGGAAGCTCGTTTTGGAGAAGGAGAAAGCACAGGACAACTGTCACACTCCCTGGCAAATGTGCACTAAGAGAATTCTTGTTTCACGGAAACCGAGATGAGGCCCAGCTCAGCGACTAGCAGCACAGTGTGGTGACCAAGAGCCTGGGCTCCAGAATCTTCCATCCTAGCCAGGCAGCTTACACTGGGAAAACCATCTGACCACCTGGGCCTCACTTTTTTTTCTGTAAACCTGGAATAAGGCATCCTAAAGTCCAAGGCCGTTGTAAGGACCAAATGAGATGCTCCACATGAAGAGCATCCAGCTCTGTGCCGGACCCGTGGTCAGTGCCGAGTCACGGGAACTACTGGTGTCAAGGACACGTGGTAGCACACATGAAGGAGCCTGGGAGATGGAATCTGAGGACCTGGGTTTGAGTTGCAACTCTGGCTCTCACCAGCTGTGTGATCTTACACAGGTCATTCAACCTCTCTGTGGCTTAGCCTTCTCATTTTTAAAATGGGAACATTAATACTACCCATAACCAGGAGTTACTGTTGTGAGGCTCAGTGGAGATAGGCTGGCTCTAAAGATGTTAGTCATCTATCGCTGGTCTCCAGATTAGGTCCTGTGGGAGGTACAGAGGAACCAGATGTGAATCTTGCCCCCCACCCCATGCCTGGAGTATCTTATGGCAAGAAGAGAGAGGGAAGGAAGGAGGAACTATGCCCCCGAGTGACGAGCTGTTGTCCTCCTGGACAAAGGTAGAAAGAGAGATGGTACCACTGTCCAGACACGACAATCTGTATGAAGACCACTCTCTCTCCTGCTGAGATGTGGGAGACTGGGAACCAACAACACCCTCACAAATTCTCTTGGAAACAGTGTGATTTACTCTGTTATGCCACTTAATGGTTATGAGTCTGTTATGTGCTGAATTGTATTCCCTCAAGATTCGTATCTTGAAGTCTTCACTCTTAGCACCTACCTCAGAATGTGACTATTTGGAGGTAGGGCCTTTACAGAGGTAATTAAAGTAAAATGAGGTCATATGGGTGGGCCCTAATCCAATAGGATGGGTGTCCTTATAAAAAGAGGAAATTAGGACACAGACACACACAGAGGGACGACCATGTGAGGACACAGCAGGAAGGCGGCCGTCTGCAAGCCAAGGAGAGAGGCCTCAGAAGAAATCAACCCTGCCAACTCCTTGATCTTGGACTTCCAGCCCCCAGAACTGTGAGAAAATGAATTTCTGCTGTTTAAGCCATCCAGTCTGTGGTACTTTGTTATGGCAGCCCCAGCACTCTACTGCAGCGGCCTTGAGTCAATTAGTTCATCTTTCTGAAGCTCATAGGTCTCTCATCTGCAGTAACAGTAATAACAATAGAAGCAAACACCAACCCAGCCTTTGCTTTTCATATGTTGACTAATTTACTTTTTCATAGCAACCCTCTGAGTTAGGGATCATTATTACTCCCAGTTTGTGGATGGGGGGACTCAGGCACAAGGAGTCTAACTTGACTGAGGTACACAGCTAGTGGGTGACAAAATTCAAAGCCTGCTTTCTTCTCCAGGAACTGTGCTTCTAATTCCTAAAGATAAAATTATTTGCAATATAATCTCAAGCTATTGGAATGCAGGTAGAAAAATGAGAGATAACACAGCCAGCACTTCTCAAACTATACTGTGCACGTAAATCTCCCAGAGGGCTTGGTAAAGTACAGATTCTGATTCAGCGGTTGTGGGGCGGGGCCTGGGACTCTGCCGAGGGTCACAGAGCCAGCAGGTGCACAGTCAGGATTGAGCCCAGGAGTCTGGCTCTGGACGCCGTGCTCTGTGAAACAGGAACAATAACTCCCCCACCCCGCCATCTCTCGGCCAGG